TTCGTGTTCGGCTCGTTAACTTATCGAACAAAGTTAACGAGCCGAACACGAGCTTCTTAACGAGCCGAACATGAGCTGCTCGTGAACGACGAGCCGTTTTGACAGCCCTAAATGCGAACATGGCCTACTTTTCACTTTTATGGCATTGGACCAGCTTAAAATTGCATCAGAATATGAAAAAAAAAAAACATTTATGATAAATGCTTATCAAATAATTCATTTATAATTATATATTAAATATTTAAACTTTAATAATAATTTATCATATATTGCAATATTATAATTACATTAAAATATGAAGTAAGAACATTTTATTTTAAAAAAATAATCTTAATAATATCTTTATGTGACGATTGAGAATTTAAGTATCATATAAATATTGAAGTTTAATTATTAAATACAAAACAATTTTTTTTTATGTGCTTATTTAATCAAGCAAAGTAATATTATATTGGGACATTTACCAACATAACACACATTTTTTATATATTTATGTATGTAACGTGCAAAGTTTTGTATTTACGTACGTACCACTCAAATTTTAAATATTACATAAATAATGTCAAAAATATTAACTGCTTAAAAGTGAAGCATATCTTTAATGTGTAGCTTTAACATCAAAATATATGTATAAATATGAAACTTTAGTCGACAAATATGTAAATACATAAAAATTGGGCGGTATATATGTAAATTTCTCGATTATACCTCTAAGAAGTAACTACATTACATCGCCTTCGAGCTGAAGCTTACGCCACAACTCGCGCGCGCACGAAAAGGGATAAAGCTCATTGCTACGCAGTCGAAGTTGCAGCGGCGATGGCTTCTCTTCTCCCTTGCTCTTTTTTCTCTCTCCCCCTTTCCTCTCTCTCTCCCGATCACTGCCCACTTGCCGCTTTTAACCTAGACCAGGCCGAAGAAAGAATAAACTCTCTCTCCAGTGCAGTTTCAGGAGCCCCAGAGGGAGGGAAAGACCGGAGGAGGGCGGTGCGGATTGCGTGGGAGAAGCTGGTTCGTTGGTCCCGCTCATGGCGTTCGAGGGCCAGGATCGACGTTCTCCAGCAGACGAAGAAGGTAGATAAATTTGGCTACCTGGAAATTCATGCTAATACTTCATATTTGGAGTAGGTTCTTCGGGGTGTTTCTGATTTCAATTAGCAGGTTGTGGTTCTTGGTGGGGGATCTTTTGGCACTGCAATGGCAGCACATTTGGCGGGTAAGAAGGCCGATATGGAGGTGGCTATGCTTGTTAGAGATGGTATAGTTTGTCGTCTGATTAACGAAACACATTGTAATTGGTGAGTGGCTTTAATGCATTCTCATATTAGTTGTTCTGCTATTTTTGTTTTTTTATAGATGGATAATATAAACGATTCTTTTAAGTGCACCCTCAAATTTCAATTTATACATCTTGGTGTATGTGCTGCATCTTTGAACGAAAGATTGTGCCAATTAATCAAAATTTTAGTAAATGTTGAATCCTCCCGTGAAACACACCCCAAGGGTTAGAGCGTAAAAAATTAGAGAGAGGAGCGAACATAATGAATAGTTAAACATCTTGTCACTTAGCATTTTCTCACAAAATAATCTCCCTATTATAGGGGAAAATGCACAATATAGTATATTATATTTTTCCTTCTATTTTAATGGGGGATTGGATATAATATTCTTCGTATTTTACATATATGAATCTATTTCTCAACTGCCCTCTGACTTGGTTGGGTGGTTTGTTTGCCTTCGAATTGGTAAGACTGTTTCAGTCGACTATACTAAGGGTGTGTTTGGGGTAGTTTGTGCTTATCCAGATAAGCAACTTATCCTAAAACGCGGCCCCCGATGTTCGACTCGCGGCCTGCGTTTAGTGTAAAAACCCAACCATGTTTTCGAATAAGCTGTCGAAACGTGTTTTTCAAACGATGAGGCGGCGTTTTCACAACCGTGTTTTCAGATAAGCTGTCAAAACGTGTTTTCCAAACGATGAGACGGTGTTTTGAAAACGCTGCCCGCACTTATAGCTGCCCCAAACGGGCCCAAAGTCGGTACAACCGATCGGCTGGGCTTGATTAGCTTTAGTTCAAAAAGACTGACTTGGTCGGTTAGGCTTTATTGATCGATTGATCTAGTCTAGCTATCGACCATCGATCCTTATATGAAGAGCTCTTGTCGCAAAAATGAGACTAGGCTATCGAGAAGAGTCTGAAACACTGTAACCCAACATATAGCTCATTATTTGATGATGTGGTTCTTTGGGATGATTGTGAGGCTCTATTTTTGTTGATTCTTGGTCCCTGATGAAGAACCTCGAGAGCGTTCGTAAGATGGCTGGTAATATTGAGGGACTAAACTTTTTTCTTGGGTTGAATCTATTGGAAGGAAAGTCTTGCTTGGCATTCTTATAATGCTAGCTCAGATGATTATCTGTCTTGCTTTAGTTCGATTGCTTCGGTTTCAGACTGTTTAGCCGTTCTTCTGGCACGGTTGGCTTTCGGCCTTAACTCGAATGACTACATCCTATCGGATAAGTGGGCCTACCGATCTTCTATCAGTGGACACTCTTTGTCATACTTTCTTTCTTCTGGACCGTTGGGTCTCCTTGGGATATGCACTGACACATTTTTTATGTACATATTTTAGTTTTTTGATTTTTTTACTCCTTGAAAGTAATGTTGTGATAAGAATAAAAGAATAAGATACAAAAAGTAGATATCATTTATTTCGTAATCTGTGATTTAATAATTGAAATCTCAGGATTTTTGTGCCCATAATTCTTCTAAATAAGGTAGACCGGACTTTTTTGATATTTCATATTTGTTTTTCTTCTCTTCATCGGAATTGGTTAGCTTCCAAGTGCTTTCATGGAGAATGTCTCAAACCCTCCTGATGAACTCCCTAGCAAGGAAATGCTTCTTGCCACATTCGGGAAGCCGACAGTGCGGCACTATCTGAAAGGTGAGAAGAAGAAGAAGAAAGCCTCCATTAAGAAGCTGAAACTGACGTGCAGGTGGATCAAGCGAGGTTATTTGACTCGTTTTATCGACATTGGCAGAGGAAAAATCGAGCATATAATGGAGGCTAATTGGGCGACCTGAGTGCCAGTTCGTTGGTTCAACCTTCTGCCGCGGCTCGAAATTGGCCGACTAAACAGACTGTAGAAGAGGCTACTGGTTCTCTGTAGCCGCCAAATTCGCAAGAGGCTACGAGTGCTTTGTCGCCTCTCAGGGAGGGCACCATGTCAATCACGGGGAGTGAGTTGGAGCCGTTCCTTTGTATGAGGAGAATCGGCCTTGCTTATTATGTTTTGAAATTTTGTTTCCTTTATCTTAGATTGTTTCTTGGTACAGCTGATCTAATCGACATGAGAGATAACTTGCCTCCGTTAGGTGCTGGTGAGGATCCCACTGCGGCGCTAGTGGTCGCAACCCAGGTACCGGCCAAGAGCGAGGATGGTGGGATCGACTATCCGGACTATCCCCATGAGATTCACGGTAAAACAACTAATGGATGCCCTATGTCTCTTGGATCATTGTCCCGATATCTAGATGAGATCGAGAATTCCTTTGCTCGGGCTGCTGGGATCTAACAAGTGGAGTTGCGCGAGATGTCGACAAGCATGGAGAAGATCGGGTAGAGATAACAACCCCTCGTTTGGAGGTGTCGGAAGTCCAGGAGGAGTCCCTTGTACAACGAGCTCAGGTTGAGGTGGATCAAATGACCCAATTTAAGTTCAAGGGACAAATTTTGTATAGGAGGTTGCATCGGAAGGGAGTTGTCTTAGCTGAAGCGACCGATGATCATCTTGTAAAGTACTTCTTCTCAAATTAATTTTTGAGTGTTATTTATGATGTATAGTTTCAGAAAAAAAATTTGTTTATTTCTTGAATACTATGTTGATATGATGTTTGTGTCAGCGTGCTGTTATCCTATATATAAGAGCTATGAGTTAAATCACGCTACGTTTTTACTACCCTTTTATCTTTGCTCCTTCTTACTCTCTTGGCATTCCGCTCTTTAGTTCTCTGTGCTTTTCGATGGCTCCAAAGTATACTTTGAAAAATTTCGGGTTAGTTGTCGTGCCTGAGAGGTCAACTATGACACCGGGGGAGGTGGTCCGGTTACAAGAAATTTTGTCTTTGATCCCACCATCAAGCTTCGAGCCGTTGGAGGAAACGACTGAGCAATGAGCCTATTTGTAAATGACCTTATTTCTTACCGAGACCCATTCAAATGTAGTTTGAGGCTGCCATTCTGCCATGAGTTGTGAGCAATCTTCAACCACTACGGGATCGTTTCCGCTCAGATTCTACCGAACCCATCATGGCATGCATTATTTTCTGCTGCCGAGTACGGGTTCCGTTGTTGAAGGAGCTTTTCACCTACATGTTCTCCTTCCAGGCTGCTCCGGAGGGTTAAGTGCATTTCACCTCGGTTGACAAGTTCCAGTTGTTGGACTTGGAGACATGATAAGGAATTGGAGGCTACGCTTCTTTCTCGGCTCTTTTTTGACGAGCTGGGACATCCAGGCTGTTCTGACGAGAGGCGCAATCAAGAAGAAGAAGACAATGCTTGATCTAATCCGGGTCGAATCATTAGAGATTGAGAAGGCGGCTATTCGTCAACTAGTACCTCAACCCGATAGTTTTTACTTGGGTATTGCAGCCAGAGAAGTATGGCCAGATGATAGGAGAGCTTTGGGCAGCTTCGGATGCCGATGAAGCTGAATGAGAGGCGGTGGCTGCTAGGGCCAAGAAGAAAATCCGAGTGAAGCCTGCAAGCCCCGAAGCTGGAGTGGTAGAGGGCAAGAAGGTGCCAGTGGTGGCCCGCTTTGGAGAGAATACAGAAGGTGCGGGCTTTATTTATTCTATATCCGAGTCTTACATTGTAATCTAAAGGATTGTCACCGATGAATTAGTTCTTATTGAGAGGAAAGTTAAAAGTTCTTTATCAGATGTAGGTTCCTCGGGTGCACGACACCAAGACACCTAACGGATGCCAAGCCGGTTAGAAGTGGGCAGTGCCGAGGGAAGAGGCCATGGAAGAAAGACCAGAAACTGGGTCGGCAAGGGGCAAAGACAACCAGCCCTCTCCATGGGATAGTTGGTAATATTGAGGGACTAGATTCTTTCCTCCGGTTGGATCTATTGGAAGGTACGTCGACCCTCGTCTCAACATTCTTGTAATGGCTAGCTCTGATGCTTATCTGTTTTGCTTTAGTCCGATTGGTTCAGATTCAGATCGTTCAGTCTTTCTCTTGGCTCAGTTGGCCTTTGGCCTTGGCACGAATGACTGCATCTGGTCAGATAAGTGGGCCTCTTAAGCTTATTTCGGTGGGTCATCTTTGTCGTACTTCCTTCCTTCTGGACTGTTAGATCTCCTCAGGATCTGTGCTGGCACATTTTTTATGTACAACATATAATTCTGATAGGGTTAGCCTCATTTTCACATGGTGCAGTGAATATGATAAATGCAATCAATTTTCAAAATAAATAATGTGTTCTTTATTAATCGTATGACTATAAATAAACAAATAATCAACTATACATAAATAAAATTTCCTGGTGGCATTAATTAATCTCTTTATACATCATATCACTATCAATGAATGTGAACCATTTTGGAAAGTGCATAATCGTTTCCTTTCACAATTGTATGCGGTTGTTTTCTTGACTCCCTGTTCTTTCATTTATTTTGAGTTGCATGGATAAAAAGTGGTATGTCGAATCATGTGCAAAGAAGTGAATGCTCTCCATTCATCTTTTATCTATTTAAAATTAAGTTTTTCTCTTGTACTGCAGCAAGTACTTCCCTGATCTTAAGCTTCCAGAAAATATAGTTGCAAGCACCAGTCCAAAGGATGCTTTACACGGAGCTGATTTTTGTTTGCATGCTGTACCAGTTCAGGTGATCCAAAATTAAATTTTTACAATATGATCATGAAGTTTGTCCATATGTGCCTCAAAGACTGCTGGATTATATTGATTTTTCTTACGGAGCTCATTCATTTGTTGAAACAATAGACATCAATTCTGTTGCGGATGTCTTGTTATTAAAAGACACTCTTGAGAACCTTTAGCAAGGGAACTTACCGTTATTATATTATGGCAGTTCAGTTCATCCTTTCTTGAAGGAATTTCCCAGCATGTTGATCCAAATCTGCCTTTCATCTCTATTAGCAAAGGCTTGGAGTTAAATACCTTAAGGATGATGTCTCAGATAATTCCACAAGCACTAAGAAGTCCTCGCCAGCCATTCGTTGTGCTCTCAGGCCCTTCCTTTGCAGTGGAACTGATGAAGAAATTGCCTACAGGTTCATTTAATATCGGAGACAGCATTAGCTGTTTTATTCATGTTCTGGCAGGCGTGCGGAGTTTGGAGCATGGGATAGTTTTTCAAGATTATTGAAGTTTAATTGTTGCCACTTTACTCCTACATTGTTTTCTTAATCAAATTTCAGACCAGATTTTGGTGTTAGGCTCATATTTTATCAGAATTAGCATCACATTCTCGTATATAACATTTGAAATCTTGCAGCAATGGTGGTGGCCTCAAAAGATAAAAAGCTTGCAAGTGCTGTTCAACAACTATTAGCTTCCCCTAATCTGAGAATAAGCACATCCAGGTGGATAAGCTTCTTTTGATCGCATGAGTTTTTATGTCATGAAAGCTGCATTATTTAGTTTCACATGGTTCCTTTTGTTTTCTAATGGTACTTTTTTGGATTTCGCCTTCTGTTTTTGTTTGTCTTGCATAGATAAAATTATTTTTTGCAGAGACACCACGTTATATGCATTGTTTTTCGGTTTTATATAGAAAATAACTGTTACAAGAATGACAAGTATAAATATTCTCGGACTATTTTCAGCCTAGTATGTAAAATCAAAGAAAATAGGAAAATGAGAAACATTTGCTTTGTGATTTGTTTGGTTATACAATTTTGTTTAAGACTATGAGACTCTATGCTTAGGATTGAGACGTTGGAATTTTCATTTCTACTTTCAAATGTTGGCACTAGCAGCAAGTTTGTTGCCAAATCCTTTCTAGTTGTTTTCTCAGATTTGAACACTTAAAAAGCTCTAAATCCTACTACTACGACACATGATACATTTAATTATGAATGAAAATCTAAGGCGGTGTTTGGTAGCATAGTTTTAATAGGATTTAGCATAAATCCGACCAAACATCAAATAAACAAAAATTAAATTCAACGTTGTGTTAAATCGAATTTTTTCGCATTCTGTTTTTTCTTCCTGTGTTCTGTCTCTTTTGCGATATAAATCTGGATTTACTGAATCTGATTGTGAGGTGGACTTAAGAATTTCTTCCGCTATCGCTAGCGAGCTCATCTCCGTCGCACAAATTATCGGATTTACTGGATCGGATAAATCCTATTTCCTATGTGAGTTTGGGGTTGGCCGTGAAATCTACATGCCCAACTGGCCTATTGACCTCTCAACACCCTCTTTGTTTGAGCAGTTTATTTCTGGGCTCAGCTCGTGACAACATACACCATTTACATCTGTTGGGCTATTGCATCCTTCATAGGCCTTCCATTCACGAGCTTTCCATTGAATGTGATTGATCTCAACTGGAAGAATTTTGATATGAATGTTGGCTTATTGTCTATTGCTTTTTCGATTTTAAAAATCTACTCCTCGGCCTCCTAATTCTTGCTATATCATTTCCCATCAACACCTTTGGATTCCATACTCCAGAAAAGAGCACTTTCATATTCTAGGTCTTTTGTGTTCTGCTGATATCTTCTCTATCATAGTTGCGAACTACATTTATTGAAAATTTTTAATTAGGTTAGGCCTATGATATTTTTTTTTATGAGTTTATTTTGTTGTAATTTATTGATCTTTTAATTCTGTAATTGTGCGTTGATTGTTGTTCTAGGATAGAATAATAAACCCTTTTTCTATTTCAATGAGCTATAAAATGTAGCAATTTAGTGTTTTATGTGCCAATCAAATCCATGCTTGCTAATTAATCAGGCATCAATAGCTATTTTAGGACCAAGGCTTATCCATCCCACTTTGGTGCCACCTTGTCTTGGCTTAGGACAAAGGCTCATACATCCCACTTTGGTGCCACCTTGGCTTGGGTTAGTTCACGCATGCATATACGATCCATGTGTTAGTCTTGGTTCCCCAGGGAAGTAAATACAATCCTCTGAAAAGATGAAACTTTTATTTCTTAATTCTTCTTCTTCTTCTTCTTCTTCTTCTTCTTCTTCTTCTTAGGGAAATATTTTTATTATAGCTAGTGGTCCATGTTTTTCTGGTAGTCTTCAAAACACTGTATTCTTTCACCTATTAGAATAAGGAGACCAGCCAACTGAATAAACATATATATTTTTTATTTTACAATGGTATCAGATCAAGAAAAACGTAGCTAACCCCCCCTCCAAGTGCCAGTCCAACCTTTATTCAATTTCAACCCTGCTAATACTCTTCATCTCACGCTGGCCTGCTATCACGTTCGTGTTCATGCTCTTCGTCCAACCTCAAATCTCGCTCGCATGCTTTTATATTGATCATACTTATCCCTTTTCTTTGCGCTCTGTCACTTCTGCTTTCCTTGCCTTAATTCATTATTGTGCTGCTTGCACTCACTTGTATTCTATATGTGAGCATGCTTTTTCTGTTTTTTTGACGAGCTTGCTTTCTTTCTCATTACTTGCTTTCATGGACTGCCCTACTTGCTCGTCTGTTGCACATAAGCTTTCACGCCTGACTTACTGCTCTAGTTTGCCTATAACTGTGCTTATTCTCACACAATTGATTCAAACTCACTTCATCACTTTTTCACGTCCACATATGCATACTCACCTTCTACTTAGGGCAGACTCTTTATGCATCACTTCTCAATGATTTGAATTTAATTAAACCTTTTTCTACTCTATCTCATATTGTTCATAGCTTTTTAATCTGCTATCAATGATTCAAAGTCTTACTTCACTATTAGCACTACAATTAACTTTGATGGTACTAATTATCTTTTATAGTCTAAAGCCTTTCACTTTTCTTATTGGTTCAAATGACAATCTGATACGAATCAGAGGAGTTTTCTACAAAGATTAGGTCAACCAAATATTTTATTTCAATAACACCAAGCAACACAACTCAAATTCATAAAAGATAAGCAATTACAGTTTGAGAGTTAGGCGATCTCTTTCAAACCCTAACCCTAACACCTGCAATTCGAGAGGTAAGCGATCTCTCTTAAACCTAACTCTTAAGACAAGCTAACCCTAAGTATAATAATCCCTATTTATACCCCCAATAATAACTAATAAAAGGACTAAATTGCTCTTATGCGCCAGTGTAACATTACTCTCCTCTCAAAAGGTATCTTGTCCTCAAAATGGAAAAAAAAAGCCGCTGCTGGATCAAGTCGTTTGGCTTCTATGTGGTGTCTTTTTCAGACAATCCCTTCTATTTAATCAGAAATTCATAGTGTCTCATGAGTTTGAAATATAATATTGTGCACATCTTTTGGCCGTATTCGAACATATTGGTACCCTGACTTCAAGTCAATCTTGGATGATACTACAACCGCGCACAACGAGTTTAGTTGCTCATCGATTATCGGATGTGAAATTTGTCAGGTACAGTTTCTTTATTCACTACCCGATAATCCACTAGAAACACCAACTTCCACCCTTATTTTTCATTAATGAGACTGGGCTAGATAAGGAGGTCACACTAGGCTGTATGATCTCAACCTTAAACATCTCTCATATTCATCTCTCAATCTAATCCTTCTTCTGTACCTGGGGGTAGTGTTATGGGCGCACACTAAATCCTTAGTCTCAAGACTATTGCATGCTCGAGTCTGCTCCCCATTCCTTCGCTCGATCTCACGACTTCAGATTCTCCTAAGCCAACTACATCGCCTTGATTCCGCACAAATCCTTTCGATTGTTGCCACTCACGTCATCTCCATATGCCGTCGCTCGTTCTTGTAGCTCTAGATTTGCCTAAGGCAGCGGTATTGCATTGATGCCTCACAAATCCTTCATATTGCTGCCGCTCACATCCCCTCCAAGCGTTGTCGCTCGATCCCGAGGTGGTCGACAACTGGTTTATTTGAAACTCCACGATCTTCTTTATCATTTCTTTTAGGGCCGTGAATCTCCCCTCCATGGATGAGAACTGTCCCTCTAATTTTGAGAAGTGCTCCTCCATTCCAGATTTAATTTGGCTCAACCTCTCCCTCCAATTTCTCCTCCTCGACATATATTTTTTTGGCTGCCATTACTCCTAGGATGGTTTTCGATCACAAAGGCGGAACTCTCGTACGCCGCAATCCCATCGTTGGTTGTTTCCAACAAGCTTGAGTCACGATTATATCGCTAGGTTTGGTTCCTGTACTCAATCTTGTCTTTGGCTTGTGGGCTACCTAACTAGTTGAATCACGACTATTTTTCGAGGGTCCCTATATGCCGCGATCCCGTCGGCTCCCAGCTAGCTCGAATCGCGATTCACGAATAGGGCACGCCCGATCTCGACGTTGATTCTTTGTACTTGCCAATATTCAGTCACCAGAGCAGTGCTTAAATGTCTTGATCTAGTCGGTCTTTACAGTTAGCTCCAAACGCACGACCAAGAAAATAATTGTATCACAATCCCTTCACTTCCCAGAATCGAATGCTCTGATACCACTTTTATACGAACCAGAGGAGTTTTTTCACAGAAAGTAGGGCAACCAAATCATTTTATTTTAATAACACCAAGCAATACAACTCAAATACATATTAAATAAGTGCCTACAATTCGAGAGGTAGGTGGTTACTCTCAAACCTTAATCCTAACGCTTTCAATTCGAGAGGTAGGTGATCTCTCTCAAACTTTAACTCCTAAGACTCAAGACAATAATCTCATAGCATAGCCTAACTCTAAGCATAATAAACCCTATTGATAACCCACAATAATAACTAATAAAGGTACTAAATTGCCCTCAGACGCCGGTCAAACACAATCTCTCACTTTAACACATCTATGAATCAAAATGGCATTATCAAACAACCCATTTGGTAATCATCTGTACATGCCTTTCTTACTTAAAATGCATAATAGTTCCGACTCTCTTATGGCGTCTACAAACATATTTCATGTTGTTGTCAAATTGCGACTTATGATTTTTTTTTTCAGTTGTTGTTCCATTTTTTTCTCAGAAATTAACATTTTGAGGGTATGTACTAAGTACTCTTACCATTTTTCACCAAGGAAGAATGATTTGTCCATCCAAATTATCATAGTACCTACATGTAAGTAAGATTGGATACTTTAATACAAATATTTCATTAGTGGTCCATAGTTTGGTATCAACAAAATTAGGAGCTCATGCTTGCTAAATTTCTATTTGAACATCATTTATCTGTGACTTAAAAAGTAATGACAATTCTATAATTAATATATATATATATATATATATATATATGTATATATATATATAC